CAACAAAACCATTAACAACAGCGCCAACGTTATCATTCAAGTTCATATTATTAATATTTTCGGTCTCCTCTCCATATTCACCCAAAAAAAAGTTTCCGAAAGAGTAAAAACATATTTTAGAAAATTGAATTTTTTTGAAAATTATATATATATAAATATATTTAGTAGCTCGCAAGAGCAGAGTTGTTAATTTGTTCGTTCCTATAGTGTACTCATGCATTCACGTAATGTAAACAACATCAATTTTGACAATTTGAATGAATTGTTAAATGATTGTTTCCACATTCCTTCTTTCTACACATTTTCTTTTCTCAGCGCGCATGGGCAATAATTAGTATTAAGATTATAGTCCCATGAATGAGGAAATAGTTTTGCTCTGTTTAGAGTATAGGCAGGGGAGACTCGCGTAGTAAAAAGTTCATGAACTCATATAACATTCATTAAAACTATTTATAATAGACATGTATTTATTAAGTTGTAATAATTGTTGAAGATAATCATATGACTAAAATCGATATAATAGATATTTGAAAATGATGAAAAACGCTTTTGATAGCTTAATAATCAGTGAAAGTTTATTATGTTTTGTTTACGTAGAGTAGGCGCGTAAGTAGAAAAAATTTCAATAGCACGTTCAGATGAGAGGTAAGATAAGCAAGGTGACCATATCACGAATATGTAACTGTTCCGACAAATATAAAACATTCATTAATGTACTACTTCTTTATATTCTTCAAGATTTCTGTTCATTTCAGATTCTGTTAATTTATTATCGGGCCTAGTAGGATAACGAAAATTTACGTTAAACTACAAAATCCATTGAGATTTTGAATATTATTAAGAAAAGATTTCAATCATTCTAATATAATAAATTAAAGGCGGATTTTAAAACGTATTCCACCGATTTGTCTATCAATATATAAGCGCATTTGCCAAGCCTCTGCTTTCTTCCTCATTGATTTCTTCCTCCAAGATTTTTCAGGCGTGCTGTAATGGCTGCTATTACTCGTAGACCCTTAAGTACGAAATCTTCCAATCCTCTCCTTAAAGTGCAATTTTGTTAAGATTCTTTAGTAATTTCTTGTTATTTTAAAGAGTATAACGCAGTCTTCCAAAGGTATTGAGATATGTTTTCCCATATTTAATATCCGGTGGACCGAAAAAATGACTTCCCACCAAGATTTTCTATTTCTAATTCACATAAAGTCTTCACAAACTTATATCAATGTATTACATATGTATACGATAGGCTCGTCTACATTTGTAAAGAGATTTTTTTTTTTTTTGCCAATGTAACCAATCACTCAGGAGATGTTCCCTATTCACGTGAAGCGGTGACGGGTCGCAGCAAGCAAGGAAAGAGAAGGAAAGAAAGAAATAGGAAGGTGATGACCGCAATCTAGTGGGTGTGTGCACAATCGGTATTTGTAATACCTCTAACAGCCGAGTGCTCACTGATATTAGAACGCGCGAACACTTACTTGGTAGGCGCGATTCTCTCAGCTAATCATGCGGATTGCTTGTTCATAAGTTTGAATTGCACGGATTTAAAACTTACATTATTAGTTCACTTCCTGGTAGGTTATTAGTGATAGCGAAATATAATTTAAAAAAGTATTTGCTCTTTACTTTATATCTGAGCAGGTAGTAAATCCCTGAGCTTTTTAACTAAGACAGAGATAACGGTTCGTTTAATCGTCTTAAAGGATATTAGTGCAGATTTGCCACTATTTTCTATAGATAGGCTTATCTGTTGGATAAAAAAAAAAAACACCAGAATCGTGTTCGAAAAAACGCCTGCCATGAATATTGTTAACAGACTGAGATTTTCAAGAAAAACATTTTTGGTGAGGATTTTTGAATGTCATTTAAACACCACTCAAATTTCAAATCGATAGTTCAAAGGGTTTCATTCATGTAGCTGTCTAAAGTTGATATGCTTTCACTTACTTCAACATAGAAGCTGGATAACTTCTATAAAGAAATTTAGATAGGAGGTAGATCAATACTAATAAGAAATGCGTTAGAGAGTAGTGCAGTTGTAGTTGTTATGAAGTTTTCTACTATGTTTTATATTGCAAATATCTAAAAATTAAAATCACTTCAAAAATTATTATTGATCTCGGATCAATGCATGGGATATGAATCAAAAACAGTAAAATTTTTATAAGAAAAACTCTCTCGGACTTGTATATAAACCTTTTTTTTTTGATCTGCGGTGTGGTCTATATCAGGAACTTCTTCCTCATCATCCTTGAAGACACCACGACGATTTTTAGCAAATTATTCAACTGAGACTAACCGAACCATAAACCGGATATATTACGTCTTCGCTATTGGAATTCAAATCAAAAACGCATTCGAAAACAATTTTCTAAACTCTTTTGGCCTCATTTGACTAAGTAAGAGAAGAATAATTTTTTTGGGCAAATACGACGTTGTTCATCAACATAGTTTCTTGCAAGAATAATACAATAAGTTTGGTGGATCTTTAAAAATTCGACGACTTTCTTGTAAAACTATTTACATTAACCGCGATTATGTGCTTCAGTTTTTACAATGACCTCACAAGCTAATCCAAATCTTTTGTTCTGAAGCATCCCTATGAGGTTTGTCACTGGGAGCCAGATTTCCAAAAGACCATTTAGACAATAACTTTCTTCTGTCAAATGGTTACATTGCCGTTTGATATTTGTGCAATGTCAGCTCTTGTAACCTCAACTCTTGATCACTAAAAATAATTTTCATGCGTCCATTTCCATTTTTTCCGGTATACCCACGCCTTTCACAAGTTTGAAGTCTTCAACAACATCTTTTTATGGACGATTTCGTTTAAAATCAATAAACCAGGAAGTAAATGCCTATTTTTTATAGGAGACGGTATAAAGAATGCAAACCGGAACTGAATTAACAATGTCCTAATGTAACAAAACTAATTTTCTGATAAAAGATTTTACTTCTCCTTCTTTTGCCATAAGTTAATAAAAATTGATTCTCGTTGCTCTATAAACCCTTACTATGAGAATAGTTATGGGGTGGGATACGATCCAAATTTGAGTTGCATGTCCGAATTTTTTTATAATTAAAATCTCTGTCAAATAAATATTAACAATTAAACCTTTTGGTCACAACAACCCTTTTATGTGATGTGGTACATACTCTTGAACCATGTGTTAAATGCTGTACCTTGCGCAAAATCGGAACTTACTTTTTGAGACAGTCCTTGTTTTGAAAAATAAACCTCTATGGTCCAAATTTGGTCTAGTTAATGTTTATAGTTAACTACTTTGACCATCATAACACACTTAAAAATGAAAACATCATGTTAAATACAGGTTTACTTTGCGTAAGCTTGGTTATGTGGTAGGGAGATTAAAAGATATTTCAAAATTTTTCATATCAACTTAGTATGCCAAAATACTCCTAATGACCGTTTCAAGATAAGACTTTACATGCGAAGTGCTCATAGAAATGTTTGGGTCCAAATTATTTTCAATTGCGTGCGTCACCACAAAAATACAAAGACAGACATCGCAAGGGGAGACAAAGAGATGGATAAGCAAGCGTAAATTGATTCTTCTGCATATATGGGTAAAAGAAGATATAAACATGTCTCAAGTTCTTCTAAGTGTTGCATGTTGCATCCACATACATTAAAAAACCCTATACAACAACCGGTTTAATGTATAAAAAGAAGAAAATGTAAGCCTTTTCTTTTCTTTAAAATGTCAAGCACAACGTGCAACCTGGTCACCGCAGTCGTTATTAGTTACGTTTATTTACGCACTGGAAACATATGGATAACAGAGAAATTGAGAATTAATGATAACAGTGATGAAGAGAAAAAAAAAGAGAGAAAAATCTTTAAAGGAAAACCATTTCAATACACCATAGCTCACAAATACAGAAAAGATGGAAAAATTTCAGTTATAGTACAGAGATAAGTTAGAAAAGTTGAAAAACCGAATAAAATTTTGAAAAAATTCAAACAAAATAAAAACGCGTGAATTAATCTTTTGTTTAAATAAAACTAAATACAAATTCGATTATAATTTATTTTTATAAAAGCAATTAATTAATATAATATTAATAAGAAGCGAAAGATAAATCTATCAGGGAATATATAAATTATATGATGAAGTGAAGATAAAGCAGACTGTAAAGAAATTTAGCTTTCATACATACTTGCGTACATGTATGTAGTTGTGGACGGGGTTTGGTGGAAGTGAGCCAGAGGAGAACAAAAGAATTTACTTTTACACAATGTGTATATTATTGTTTTATATATAAACAAAAAAAGCTGAAATATTTTTAAATATATGAAATGTAAAACAAGTTTTAAGCGAATTTGTGAACATCAAAGAAGAAAAACTAAACCTTTTTTATCAAAAAACGAAAAAGAGTCTGCAAAAAAGTTCTTCTTTTCTCTTTTGTGTTAACATTCGTTTTCCGTATTGTTCCCGTTTTCCTGTGCCGTAATTGTCCTTTTTTGAGGTTAAGTTGATTGTGCTCTGCGATGGGTAATCAGTAGGACAAGACCGTCCAAGTCTTATGTGCCTTAAAAAAATAAGGAAACGATTATTCCGTTCAAGTTTTTGTTACACATTGTTCGAGTGTTATATTTAAGAGATCCACACAAAAACTGAAGTTTCTGTTTAATTTATGCAACAAAGCGTTCATGTTGTCACCGAATTGTTTTACATTTCAAACATTTGTCTCCTTAGACAAGGAAAAAAGTTTTGCCTTGCCTTTGAAAAGAAGAGTAACAAAGCTTTGCTTTTTGATAAAAGACTTGCTTTTACATTATACCAGCCTCAAGCAACTATAAACCACAGTAACACTTTAGGTAGACGTTGTACGTGCTCTAAAATTCAGTTCGTTCACTTGAATGCTTTGTTGCCTAAGTATCATCTTTTTTTCTTTTTTGTTTTTTTTTTTTTTTCTTTTAAATATAGATCTCAAGTGATTAAGGCAGAGCCTTATGTATATATTTAAAAAGAATAAAATTTTATTTTCAACTATTATCGGCGTTAACCGCTAGCGAACTATTTTCGCTGCAGTTCTTAGTGATTCCTTTCTTTTTTTTGTTTTTTTTTGAATTAAACTTTTTTGATCCTGTCGCCAAAAATACCACCAAAATATCTTCATTCGAAGAGGATTATAGGGCTGATCGGCCCATGGTGCAACGTGCATCTTCCACAGATGCACCCGCACCACCCGCCGTATCGGGCAGCGGTCATCGTGAGTCTCGTTTCGGTCTGGGCTATACGTCATATCAAAGTGGATACAATAAACTATTTACACAGGTTGGTTCAGAAAGAAATTTGATAAGAAACATGTACAATAAACGTTAATTCTAGAACCTTTGAAAGCTTTTTAATATAAATCTAAGAAAAATTTGTAAAATTTTTCGAAGATCGATCACAAATTTCGACTATCTCTCTTTTTCGATTTGGATCAATTATATGAGAACAACACAGAAGGCGATAACAATAGAGAAAACACAGAGTTGCTTTCAAGTCCAGTTGTTAAAATCTTTTATATAACTGTTATTAAAAATTTTGTACTCCACTGATGAAAGTTACATAATCTTAAATAGTTTATAATATTTAAGGGCACATTTGATAAGTCTTTTCTTTGCCGCACTTGCATTGTTTCGATAATCTCCTATGAACTTGTAATTCCATTTTTTATTTTATTAACTTTCATCTACAGATCCTTCACAAATATAAACTTTTTAATATTTTTGATTCGCCTGTGCAGGCGAGAAGGCAAAGAATCTCGACTAACAACTCAATTGGCGTGGCTTCAAAACTCAAGCGCTGTCGAGTTCTCAATAAAGCCGTTAAGACTTTATTCTTAGAACTTATTTCACTGGCATAATAATATATGTCATTTTTGCTTTTTCCAAAGTTACGGTATTCACCAATTACGTTTGAAAATAACTTGAACCGTTAGCTTGTTGCGAGCATCAGTAGTTGATAACTAACAAGTCAAAACCGGTGTCTAAAAAACAAATGGAACTCTTGACAAGAAAATAGAGATTACTACCATCTTGAAATCTAGAAATCTAAGTTCGTCTTTGTTTCTTGTGTTCAACCGCCAAGTTGCGCTGCTCGTCCAGAGCTCGTTCGCCAGATCGGATCACCTTTTCGACCACTTCCTATATGACGCTTTTATATAAACAAGATGGTCTGGGTTATACAATGGTGGGTCATGTGTCACTTTGATGGAAATACATTAGACACGAATATCAAACTTGCGAACCGCAAGTCGAATACGGCGGTTGCGATAGCAGATTTGGCCTTAGTGTGCGTATCGAAATTACCACTTTTGAAGCGTTTAAAATATATTACTCAGGTAGTTTTCAACAGAGCGTCCTCGCCATAAGTCTCGTTAAGAAAATGACATGATTCACGTGCTTTTTTTTCAAGTTAAATCAGAAAAGCAAAGCTTGCCGCAAATAATGTTCATTCGGGACAAAACTTTCATTATTTTAAATATATTTGATGACCGGTTATTGTTCAAAGATATCCAAAATAAGAAAAAAAAACACAATTTCAGACACCTGTCCACTTGTACACCTAATACGTTCGGCAAAAGTTATGATGAAACGCTATACATATTTCATAAGGAATCCGAACATATTTCAAATTAGTCAAATCTAAAGGCAACTCTAAATAGTTTTCGGAAAATCCAGTGAGGTTGTTTCCAATTGGCAATAAAAGCCCTAACCAATATCACAAATGCATTGCATATGACAAAATTTAACTATCAAAAAAAATAATTCAGGTATAAACAATCATGCAAGTGATCTGCTTCGCTTATCAATACGAATATGAAGTCTTTCGTATTTCTTTTTGTCTGTTGAATATCACGGAAAATTTTGATATAAAAAGTTAAAAATTAAGAAGAAAAATTGCCTACATTTTGTGTTGAATATTGAGAATTTTATTGCCTACCATTGAGGGCAAAATAAATAACCTTTAAATGAGTTCGTTTCTTACTTTGGAAGAAATAATTGTACGGCTTTCGGTTTTTGAGATATCTCATATTCAAGCCGATCATAATAACCGCCTCGGCTTTTTTAACTTTTATAAAACGATTTGATTTTTAGAAGTATAATGGTAATGGGTTTAAATCTCAAAGCGGTTAAGTTTGCTTTGTTCATAGTTATATACAGTCAGTGCTCAGTTGGTGAAGTGAAAACTGGAAGTTAACTTATACTTTCAATGTTTTTACTGTACATATTGTACAAGGCTTACAAACGATTTTTTACCGTTTCGTGACTTATGGGATGCAAATTTTTTATCTTTTTTGCATAATATATGCTTTGAACCTTCTAGAATATGTGGTTAAATTCATTGCCCGTCACAAATGCTTTCCTTGATATTTCAATCTTTCCCGTAAGAAGTTTACAAAGACTGGCTGAGACAAATGAATCCCTATTAAGAAGTCGCAGACGAATGTCTGTCACGCCCCTCTAACGCACTAACAGATGTCTTTAAAAAGTATTTATATTCATTTAAAAGCATTTATCAGAGCTAATATCCTCAGTATAGGTACACAAAGACGGCGGTCTAGTAGATATGAAATCAAGAGCGATTCAAAAGCTTTCCGTGCTTCAGTTCAAAAATTAAAGGTTTGGAATGAAGTACATATTTTTCATAAGTACGTTTATGAAATTGTAAATTTTCTGCCTTTTTCTCTGTCATTCCTTAAAACATGTAGAGTATAGGAGATTTTGTCTTTGACAGATTTGGGAAAATAAGCACCTTTGAGCATAAAATCCTCGAGGAAAGACATTGTGAAAAAATATTTGAGCTGAAAAGGGAAAGACTTGTGTAACATGTTTTAAAATTTTAACTGCCTCTCAGTCGGAATACATCCGCCATAACTCAAATGATTCGCGTTCATTACATTCGACCTAAAGTGTAACGTTCTAAAAGAAACTAGTAAGAAGTTTTCGATACCTCAATTTTAACATTATTTATTAACAAGAGATTATTCTTTTTGGTTGGAAGTTGAACTTCAATAACTCGGCAATAAATAGTTTTAGACTCCTACGTATTTGTTTCCAAATCAAGTTTACTTTAGCCATACAGCGTGGCCCATAAATCAAAGATGGCTTTGGAGAAGGGTTTTGGCAATTTTGTAATGTTTTTCAAAAGCATTTGTGATACACGGGGATATTAAGCTTATGGGAAAGTATGAAACGCTCAGAAAGATTTGAGTAGACCCACCTTATTCTTTACAGATAGATTCACCATCGGTTTCTGGATCACTTTCTGAATCGACCAAAGCTTATTCGAAAGTTGACCCGTGAACGAACGCTATTGAAAATCGTTCCGATTGGACTTTTTTGGTCACTTTCCAAACAATGCTTTGAAAAGTTATACGAAAAAATATATGGTGGTACGTGGCATTTAAAGGTGGGCCATAGCCCACTATAATGTTTCTACTTGTTAATACTTAAAAATATGCTCAATAACTTCCTCGAAAGTGATTATTATATTTCTCAAAGAAAATTGTCCAAAAATTTAATCTTTATTCTACAGTGGTGTTGTTGGCCTTCAAGAGTTATAAATGTCCTTTTTGTTATTTTTTTGACCACGATTGCAAAACTGATTGAATTCTTAAATTTCATGGTGCCATGTACCAATCAATCCATTAATTAATTGTTGCGCTATTACTTTAGAAAGTAATGGACAAATAATAATAATAAATGGAATAAGAGACTAATAACCGAATTCTGCGCTCTATCCCTTTTTCAACTTGCATCGTAGTTGTTTTGCCCTAAACACCAATTACTGATAATTAATAATGTTTACGATTAATTGGACTTCTCATCGATATACCGTTACCTTATTGTGTAACTAGTTTTGAATAATTTTGTGTTGGAATTAAAAGTAACTGCTTTTAAGTCCAAATTTTTCTCCTGTATTGCGTAATAAACAGTAATACATATAAAAATCACATTTCCCATTCACAGCCTTTTCAGGAATTTAAAGTTAAATGCTCGTTTCCCGATATAAAAATAAAATCCGGTATTAACGTCAACATTCTTTCTAGAAATCCTTATTTAACTGGATTTTATCATCTATTAGTTTACAGCGACCTATACGTTGAAACACCGCTATGCAGACTTAAATACATTTATGTTTGTGTTAAACTAAAACCAGCAGCACACAGTATATGTTGTATAGTGCCAACGACAGAGGAAAAAAAAAGAAAGAGAAGGCATTGTAATAAATTCATTCAACCATATGCGCTTTAACAATTTACATTCGTAGATAGATGATATATGAAAGTGAGAAATAGGATTGGCTACAGGAAAGTATTAATATTTTAATAGAATCAAACTAAAAAAAAAAAAAGTCGGGTAAGCCGCACGTTCGATAGGCATGTGACAAGAAGCAGTACATAAAACTAGAAATTCATACAAAGTTTTGCAGGAGGTTTTGCTGGCATTTCGTTTCATTATCATCAATAATTTGCACGCGGGGAGAGAGAGTTTCAAGGATAATTATAAACGCTTTTATTTGAACTAAGCGCTATAAATAACCGCATTCTTTAACGTGAATGATGAATGAAATTTAATCAAGAGAGAAACGTAAATACAAGAGCCACGAGATGAGTATAAAAAGAAGTTGGCAAATAGTTCAATATAAGTTTAAATGAATAGATTGAATATTATTAAGAATCCTTTCATTTGAAGCAAGTCTTTTATCGTATAGCCTATAAACTGTTAAGACTTAAAATTTATATATTCATCCTACTTTTAGTTACGAATACTGAGAACTGAGAGAACTCCATTCTCTTATTGTCTTTTAACGCAGCTAACATAAGCCTAGCGTTGGGTATGCTCAAGGGATGGGATCGTTTAGTTAAGTTAGTCCTTATTGTATTGCAAGGAAATCCGTATGCTCGGGTTACCTTCTTCGGCGACCCAGATGTTCTTAGAAAGACCATTTGCATAGCTGGAACCGCCGCTGAGAATGAGGCGCGTTTCCTCCTCGCTATTCCTTCGGATATCATTCGCAGTTGTCTGAATTTCCTTATACTTTCCCTGTCTGACTCCACGTGACTAATACTGTGATCTATGTCTGCATTTATCTTCACAATCCTATTTCATTTCGAATTCCAAGCTAGCATGATTCACTGTTAATAATTCTTCCTTAGCTTATCCTGCTAAATTTTAATTACAAATTCACATGACTAGCTCTTAAATTTCTGGACTATTTTTTCACCATTCACTTATTTTTCTGATTACCGAATTCTGTTACATTTTCTAACATCTCTTGCGTAGTATGAATCCGACTTGATCACGGCCCGAAAGAACTTTTTCTTCAATCGTTTTCGAAACCTTCCTCTAGCAGATAAGCGTTTCCGATCGGTCTTTCTAGTCTAGTCAGTCAGATGGCAGTTCCGCCCCACTTGCACTTACTAGCTACTTAATCTAACCCTATATATTCACCTAAATTGACTGAAACCTATGTGTGGAACTAAGGTTAGGAACAATTTTGGTTTTCATAGTATTTTAATAAGATAATGGCAATGCGTTTCATAAAACTTATTATAACGTTTGCGCAGCTAACTCAATTAGCTCTAACGGCATCTCGCTTACTTTAAGTATCGCAAATCGAGGATAATTTTTGCGTATAAAGCAAAAAGATAACTAAAGGGTCAAACAAACATTTGTTATTCCAAAAACAACGAAAAAATTGTTTCGAAATCTCTACGCCTTCCTCATGGACATATCTAGAATGGTTTTCTAACTTCAAAGTAATCATCACCTTGTTTAGTTTATTGCAAAGTACTTTTTATATCTGGACTTATGTCAACAAAATGCCAGAAATTATCACAAGCAAGCACGCAAACAGCCCTCAACTCTTTTACAATTCTCTTAGAAGAAGAGCTTCTTTTTTGTTACTTAAACAATTTCATTTTTCCATATATCAGGTGATCACTTGGTCTTAAACGAAGCATTTTAGCACTTGAATAGAAAACATTTCCACAAACATATACATTTTCAATATCTTTTAGGGTTCTGCCGACTCCAATTACTCACAACCGTCATCCGATCTGTCGCTAGACGAGGAAAAAGAATCGCTTCGGCGAGAAAAAGAACGTGCGGCCTTAAGCCAGTTGGATAAAGCGAGAGTATATTCATCGATATATATATATATTTTTTTTTTTTTTGAATAAAAAACTATACCGTTTTCTTTTTTGTTGCGTTTTTATAGAGTAAACCTGTAGCGTTCGCTGTGCGAACAAACGTTGCCTACGATGGTGCTATCGATGATGATTCGCCCGCCCAGGGCCGTGCCGTTTCATTTGAGATGCGTGAATTTCTACACATCAAAGAGAAATACGACAATAACTGGTGGATTGGTAGACTGGTTAAAGAAGGCTGTGATGTGGGCTTCATACCCAGCCCCGTTAAGCTAGAACATATACGTGTTCAGGTGTTTAATTCGATTTGTTTATATATATATATATACATTTTTTTTTTTTTTAAAGAGAGGAAAGAGACAGATTTTTTATATAAAATAATAAAAATTTTATAATATTTACAGAATCAAACGCGACCCTCAAGACTGTACGGTACAAAAGGTTCATCGAGTGGGAATTTAGGCGGCGGACAAGCAGGTGCGGAGCCATCACGAGGTAGCACACCCCCTAGCACACCTGGTATGACACACATGTTCATGTTAGTTTTTGTTGTTACTTTTTTTGTTTGTTTTACTTTTGTGTTGTAATTTATGTTTTTCTTTCTCGTGTTTAATAATTATAACAAATTATTTTTTACAACATTTAACGCGTTTTTCGGTAAAGAAACCAAAGAGTAAGTGCTATCTGTGTAAATTAAACGCAGAATTTTTTTCCTTCCTTCTAGGAGGAGGTTAATTTTTCTTTAAAAACAAGTATTAATTTTAATTTATTTCTTGCAATTACTTTATATGTTCGTTCTTCTTTTACGTTTCTTTGTGGGGAAATAGTCTAAGAAATGTGTAAGAAAACCTAATTTAGTCTAAATTGTTCTTTGAAACGATAGTTAATAAGTTATACGGGTAGTTTTCGGTTTTAGTAGCCAGCAAAGTTATTTTCGATTTTCGTATATTAGCTTCTAGACAAAAGAAGTTTACAAACTTTCCTTCAAATTTTTATTAAAGTATTTTCCTCATGCGTGCGAATGAAGAGAAATAGCATTCAACCATATCCTACTCATAAGTCTGTATAGATAAATCCTTTATATTTAAAAGAGAGGGGAAGAATAATTTCCGCCTTTTTCTTGTCGCCGGTCTACCAAATTTACATAGTCATTCTTATGCAGAAATTTATCTTTCCTGAACAATTTGGCTAAGAGTTATTAATATGCAAGAAGGCTGTGTATTCTTAATTCTCTTCTAAGATAGCCATCAAGTCGGGTATACATTAATAGCAGCATTACGGACGTGTCAACTATGCCGATATAATGCCGGCATGGTCTTCACGATACCCTCTTGTATTTCCAGGATGTACATCCGCATTAAATTTGAGATCGTTAGCCACTTTGATCGGCAGTTGAACTCTGAAAATCTACTTTCAAACTACTGCTAGCGGAAGGAAACCTGAAGGAATCACGTCCGACTATGTTCTGTTCAGCTCCAAGAACATATTTTCGCAGACTCTAGACTATTTAAATGTACACTTCTTGGTACCTACGACGTAAATTCCAAAGTGGTATTAGCCTCAAACCATCCGTGTTAGATTAGAATTTATATAAATCGGACTAAATGTTCTTTCTTTTGTCTTTTATGTTCTAACTTTATTTTTTAAAACATAGATAAAGCATTAAACGGAGAAACACGTATGCTTGAATAGCATAAGAGTACAATGGTTTGGGTCAAGGTTTTTTGTCATTTCTATATAAGCAGACAGAGTATTACCATCTTCTTTATTTTTAATATAGAGCGGTTCTTATCTCAATTGTTTAGTTAGATGTTTACTTGACCGCATTTTTATCAGACTTCAGCGTAGTAGGTAGCTTTTTATCAAGTGACCACGACGAGGTACTTTCTTCATACATCTACCTTCTTGTCTCACTTTCCCGATAAGATGCTCAGCTATCCAAAACTTTCTGTCAATTTTAAGCTTCAAAGTATTTCTAGTTAAAATGCTCGATATTAAGGTTAGAGAGAATGGAAAGTGAATTTCTTTCCTGTCATCGAACTTATTTTGCTTTATCGACCATGAAAGTACCTGAAGTTCACAAGATCAATACAGAATTTAAATTTATTAACAGGACCAACACATCCTGCTTTTTAGCCTTAGAAGTTTTTTCTTTGGTTTAAATAATTCCTAATAATAATAATAATAGTAATAATATTTTATTTGTAGTTGGCGAGTTGCCCAGTTAGTTGTTGCCCAAAACTTTTCTCACTTTTCTCCTTGCCAGGATCTCTTTAAGAACTTGCGAGCAAACATTGAATATTTCTTTGTTGCATATATGAAATATTTACCGACAAATACTTAATAAGACGTGAGAAAGTCCGAATATGCGTACAAGTTTCGAGCTGCACGCTAATAACAAGAATAGAGCATACAACCTTAACAAACTTTAATACATATAGCTCCTAAAAGTTTTCCAGAAGGAATGCCTTAGAGAAAGTATTTAATACCCGCCATCTAACGCGGTCCATTAATTCTAAGCGATTCGAATTATTCTTATCGCGAACACAAACTTTCAGTAAGCAGTCGCGCCAAACTCTCTCATACTCTGTTGATTGGCTGTGCCTCTGTCTTTATGGTAAATCCCTTAAGACAATTTTTAGTTCATTTCATTCTGCCGTCACATCATGCGCACCTCGAAGTCGTCACTTAGAATCGATTCTATTTTGTCGCCAAATAAATTCTTTAATGTTTCAGTCAATCACTTGGGTAATGTTTCCTATACAAGAGATACGGAGGGAATCGGGGGCAGCAGAAAATTTATCTCCGCCTCTTAATTAAAAGAGTAAAACAATATATCATAGTATATTTGTTGACTTAGCAGCGTAGTGAGTTATCAATTTAAAAGCATTTTATTATTCTTATAGGTTAGGAAAAGTGAGGATTTATTTTAATATATATTTTCTTTTTTTAATTTATCTCATCTAACATTTCGTACAAATGACAATACACACACAATATCCTATAATTATAATAATAAAAATTTTATATAAATTGTTGGATAGAAAGTATGAATGCTTTAGCTCTTTAGAATACCTGTAATAAAACTGCATGATTACCAAAAATTCTGCCAGCGCTTGCTTAGATAGGAATGTGATATTTTTATAATTGAATCTATAATTTTACTAATATGCACTTTTTAAATTTCTACGAAAAACAAAAATTGAAAAAAAAAAAAAAACTAATTGCACAAATTGATTGCAATCTATCTCAAACACAAATTTTTCAATAATATACAGATCCTTATAGTACAACATCACGCAAAAAAAAGAAAGGTTTGTTCTTAAACAACATTTACAAAATATATACAATTTATGGAATTGTAAGAGCAATTAATTGGTTTGCTAGTCATGCTTACGTAGTACTTTTGTATTCTGCTTAATGAAAAATGAACACATTATTGATTTGTAGAATATTGCGATAAAAACAATCCCTTATTATTAATTTTTATCTTAATGTCTTGACTGTTATATTTATAATTTTCTCACCTTCGTGATCTTCATTGTGCGCCGTCATTACACGGAGATCAATACACCACTTATCATAAAATCTCAATACTCGCATTAGAAACATTCTGTAATGTACGATATTGCAGTGGAAAGAGAAAGAAATAGATAGGGGAACAAAGCAATATGTGCGTGTACTTGTAAACTAAAAAAAAAAAAAACAAATCTGATCATAAAACACACCTTGCACCGGTCTACAGTCATACATATGAACGACGTTTCAAAATAAGCCCTTCTATCGGAGGTGATTGAAAGAGTAGTGCGATCTAAACCATTTTTAGTAGGTGTCGTTCTCTCGTTTGCGAGTTTCGTGTCCAGTCAAAGAAATTACTAATTTTAAAAGATGACAAGAAATCGTCCGCTTTGAAAAGAGTTTTCTTTTCTTTTTTTTTTTTTTTTTGTTTAATATACTTTGCCATACAATTGAAATTTGTTTAAATTCACATAAGTTTTTCGAAAATTACTTATTTATGTAACTTAAATTTCCATTAATTTTGTGGGACAATAAAAGGAAAAATTCCTTTGTATTCACTATCAGGTGTTTTTGTCCCTTAAATTACTTAATACCTGTCATAATATTGAAAGAGATTTTTCTTTATGTCCTTTTATTCATCATTCTTTCATTCTAAATGTGTATGTGTGTGTCAACTAAATAGTATCATTTAAGCATATCATGTGTAGTTGCCATAAACTCGCTCATTTGCAACCATACTTTGTCTTTTGTTTTTTTTTTTTTTCGTGCGTTTTTCTTTTTTCCTTCGCAATTGTTTTTGTTGTGCAATGATACTAACGGATTAGGTGATGAATCAGATTCCATGGGACCAGGACGTGGTAAATCAACGCTAGCCACCCCGCCCAATAAGGAGAAACGTAAACCATTCTTTAAAAAACAAGAGACCGCCTCCCCATATGACGTTGTGCCATCGATGCGTCCGGTTGTTTTAGTGGGTCCAAGTCTGAAGGGTTACGAAGTAACCGATATGATGCAAAAGGCTTTATTCGATTTCCTGAAACATCGTTTCCAGGGACGTATCATTATAACACGGGTCATGGCCGATATATCGCTGGCGAAACGATCGATAATGAATAATCCATCGAAACGTGCGATTATGGAACGTTCCAGTAGCCGATCAGATTGCCTAAGTAAAGTGCAAGAGGAAATTGAACGCATTTTCGAATTGGCGCGAACATTACAGTTAGTGGTACTCGATTGTGATACAATCAATCATCCGTCACAGCTAGCAAAAACTTCCTTAGCACCAACAATAGTTTATCTTAAAATTAGTAGCAGTAAGGTAATTGAAAGATGAACAATTTCCTCCTCCCTTCTCCCCTAACCCCTTTCAATTATTAAATTGTCTAAAATTTATTGAGCGCATAAAATACAGTTCGCTTCTTAATTACTGCACTATAGTTATCGTCGTATGCTGATTGCTCAAAAGTTTGCATACCATGCAGGGGGTGAGATATTGCACTGTGCGATGATGATCACAGTTCCCGCAACACTACTTTGCAATTTGTTATGAAAAGCATAAATGCACAATTCTATTAAATGAATTGTTCTGCTTATTAACACTATATATGGTCAAGAAGACCTTGGCAATGAACAGCTAATCACAGTAGTAAAAATTTATGACAAAATTCGGCAAATTCTCGAAAGTAAGCGATTATGTTAACGGTAATAATAAAAAATTTATCGCTTATCAGAGCTAAAGCATACCATCCGGCTTTGTGGCTAAGCCAAACTCGAATGAAACATATGAATCACGAAGTCAATCCATTTCTGAACCGAAGGCTCCAATCGCTTAATCTGCGTCACCTACGTCCAGTTTCCCTATAAGCATATACGTTTTTCCAATAGGTGCATATATAGTTCCACAAGTTTCTATCTTCTTAATGCTAAACTTAATGGGCTCAATACATTTTAGACATGTTACTACTTCTTGATGAAAGTTTAAAAAATTGACCGATAACTATAAAACGATATCTATATATACATATATATATATATATATATTATATATATGTTATATTATATATATATATATCTATTCACAGATAAATCGTACATTCACATATATTTATGTATATATACATATTTGGTCGCACTTTAGGCTTTCATCATCTGCTGAAATAATGTGAAAAATACAACAACAATAATAAATTTTTATTATCTTGTTTAGGTTTTACAGCGTTTAATCAAATCTCGTGGCAAATCGCAAGCGAAAAATCTTTCAGTTCAAATGGTCGCCGCCGAAAAACTGGCACAATGTCCCCCCGAAATGTTTGATGTCATTTTGGACGAGAATCAACTGGAAGATGCTTGTGAACATATAGCGGAATATTTAGAAGTAGTTTAACAATTTTAATAACTTTCTCACGATATAATTATTTCGTTTTAATTGCAGACTTATTGGAGAGCTACGCATCCTGATATAAGAACGTCACCCTCAGTACCTAGACCGTTACCGCAGGAAGCGTCACCTACCACAGATCAAGCACGAATGGGTCCTACACCGCCCGGTAAGTTTGGAATTTCTCTTCTATTCTCACAACCGATAAGATATTGCTCTCTCTATTTATTCTAAAATTTCTCACATGATCATCGTTAGGATTTAAATTTTTGCTTTTCGTTTCTTATTTTTGAAAAAAGTTTCACCTACACATACTTATTAATTTTTAATTTTACTACTTAACAATGATTATTAAAAAATAAAAATAAAAAATAAAAAAAACAAACAAATCTCAACAAAGAAAATGCAACATATTTAATAAATTTTCATAAAAATTTTGTTTATTCTACTTTGTTGTTGTGATTTTTTCTTTTCGTAAACTCAAACAAACAAACAATCGAAACTCTTACTTACTCGTTCTCTTGCGATGATGATGAAATTCAATTGCTTTCTCATGTGAATAGTGGGCGGTATTATGGACGAAGAAACGCGTGACTATAGAATGGGTTCTAGCGAACGTGAGAGTAGTCGCGAACGCGAAGGCAGTCGGGAACGTGATCGAGAAAGGGATAGCGACTACGAACGTGATTATTGGGATCGCGAATTTACAAAGGGGGGTCGTACACCGCGCGAACGTCAACGTGACTTAGAATGGGAACGTGAGAGAGCAAGAGAATGGGAAAGAGAACGAGATCGGGATTGGAATAGAGAATTCGATTGGGATCAAGGTAAACATTTTTGAATTAAAATCCAACAAATCAATACTTTGATTTTGTTTATAAATGATTTTCATTAAAAAATTTCATTTAATTTTTCATTTATTTTTATTAAAATGTTTTTCGCTTAACAATATACCGTAGAATTTTTTAAAAATATTTTTAAGTACATTAAAGCGTTTACCTAGAAAACCTAAATTAATTACGTAGACAAAGAGGAAAAGAAGCGAACGACAAACAGCTGTTTTCCGAATTCAAGAATAAATCATATTCTTTTTTCCGCTTCAGAGAATATGGATTTGCCCACCAGTTATGCACATATACCAATTTTTGAAAGTTAAGCAACTCATAGTGGTTTAACTATAATTATACTTTTAAACCAGCTCTCGTAATTCGTAATTCTATTTCTATAAAAAAATCATTTTCACTTTTATTGCGAACCCGAAAAACACGATATATGTGTAAAATTTAATAAAAGTGAATGCAACGAGACGCTTGGGATCCAACCGTAGGGCCCCCAAGAAGTGATCATAAGTTCGATTGGATGTTGAGATAACCGGTGAAAACGTCATATGAACTATTCGTCTCGTTTATCGTTTCAATCACTTGACCGAGCGGGAAGCACGACAACCGAAATAGTCTATCTTCTTTTTTAAATTTTTACACGCTAAATCGCTTGTGGTACAAGGGTATGTTAAGATTGTATAGATGTATGCAATGCACATAAGGACTTGAGATAGACCCGCCTTTTATTATACCCATTGATCTAAGTTTGTCCGTCCCTCCATCCGCCTCGGTTTCTTGTCTTCAACATATAGCGCGCCTTCGGCCAAAGATCGAACGCTTTGAAAATGGTTCAAATCGGACTACTCTTCGACTATTTCTCATATAACGCCTTTTCTGAAAGTGGAGTGACATTTAATGAACCGTGGCCGAACATAGCGTTTTTTTTTTGCCTATTTTGGTTTTGGTCGTTCAGAGAAAATATAAAATATATCTAAATAAAAAAAAAAAAAATTGAAAATTTATCTTGGATCGAACTTCGCGAATAATTGTTGCAAACTTAAAGGGTTTTCGGCTAGCTATGGCTGTATGTGCAGATACGAAATAGACTATGATTGTGTAAAAACCATAACTTTATCAATTATTTTAATTCTTCATTTAACTTATTCTCAATTCCTATTGTTATGTCCAAATAGAGCTACGTCTCTGATCACATATGCACTTAAAAGATCGTACAACTGATTTTCATAAGTGAAATATGCGAAATCCCATTACAAAAATAAATCTAGAAAACATTTAGTCCACATCAATAGACCAAAAAGCAATTTGCAAAGAAGACATTGTCTCATGCTCTTATGTAGCACAGAAGAGATTGAGGTTAAATATTCGAGTGTACTAAACGCTCCATGCAAAACAGCTGTTTATCAAGAAAGCCTCCAAGTTTTTAAACAAATTTATTTAAATAAATATGCGCTTATTATATATTGTGTTATGCTTTTTTTATTTTTTTTTTTTTTTTGTTTGCAAATTTTCTTCATTTTCGTATTATTATAAGTTTTTATATTTTTAATCGAAAAACCAACTCCAACATATTTTCAGCTTTTACCACACAAGACCTACCACCTGGTACATTTACGAGATTTATTTAAGAAAAGTTTCATTTTAAAATCATCAAAGTCCTGCTATTCTTAAAAAAAAAAAAAACAAAAACAAAACAAAAACAAATAAATGCTAAGAGACAATCCTGAAACAATCAGAGCTGCTCAAACCAAACTGCACCACTCCTCTAAACCCTCTACGAGTATGACATTTAAAAATTTCTTAATTTTTATTTATTTTTTTATGTTTCATTTTTTTTTTTTAAGTCACTAATCCTCACCATTAAAAAAATTCCTTTTATTATCCCAACAACAACTTCATTCTTTGCATATATTTACTTATTTTCTTAAGTTGTTTTTCTCTAATTTTTCTTAAAACTTTTTGTTGCCCTATATTTACTTTTTTAGTCACTCCTGGTATTGTTCGTATATAACATGGATATTGCAAAAAAAAAAAAAAAGAAAAAAAACAGCCCTACTTTCAATTGTCCTCCAAAAGATTTAGTCTATTTCCGTTTCGTTTCGTGTTGAGTTCTTCTATCATCGCTCTAGTCGTTATCTTCATTTGTTCATTTCTTAAATGTTCTCTTATATCTTTCATTTAGTGAGTACTCCGGAGTTATTTCAATTAAAATTTAATTTCGTTATGTTTGTTGTTTAATTCCTATTTCCTTTTGTAAAATAGCCCGTTTCTTTGCATTTAATTCACTATGTACCTTATCTAAAAGTTCAACCAATCTGCATAATAACTTTATGAGACGTTAATCTGTCAATACTCGCTTTCGTTAAATCTTTGTATAGATATTTATAAATTATTCCAATTTGATATTTATTTGTTTTAATTCAAGTTTTCATTGCCTTTGCAAGTAAAACTTCATATTCCTTACCAGCCGATCGTCTTACCTTTAATTGCTTGTATACCTTATTGGACTTTGGAAGAATTTTTATACCCATCATCTAAGTGTTAGGAGTGTATTTCATTTGTTAAAACGTTTGTAACATCCAGCAGGAAGCCGCAGAAACCCCATATAGATTCATATATATTCTTGATTAGTGTAAAATTATAAACCAATTTAAGGACGTCCGTCTGTCTGTGTATAATGCCTGTAATAAACATTTTCTTGGCCGTAAAAATGCTCCAATCAGCTTTAAATTTGGCACAAAGATTGCAAGTTGTTGCGCGAAAGTTGGCAATGAAATTGGGCCAAATCGGCTAAGAACACGACCGGAGTACAACATAACCTACAAGACCTGATCTGAAATCGGCCTCAGAGACCATATAAAGTTTAGATATTATTGACCAGTGTCAAATCTAAATCATTCTAGAAACATTCGTTAGTCCGTCCAACTATCTGTTCTAATTACGATAGCAAGAATACTCACGATCGCAAAACACAGTTGTCTACCTGTATTAAAAATGCAGCAAATCGATGGAAAGACTCGTCCACAGTACAATATAAGGACAAGCCCTTTTAACCACCCACAATATTATATAAAGGCGAGTACTAATTGTGTACATTCCGGTTGCCTAGGTTTTCTTCTCCTAAGCTACCACCGACACACGATATAAATTTTTACTTTTCTTCTATAAAATCACGTAATCGGCCCACGGTGGAGGTTATAAAAGATTCTGTCGCGGCCGAATGCTTACTCGCTAATCTATTTTTTAGATCGCACCATAGGGGCTCTCATGAAAGCAAACTCTATTAAAGCCTACTTAACTAATTGTTCAATTGACAGCTTAAAGACGTCGAATAAAGGACCTTTGCTAGAAAGTTTTTTGTTTAAAGAAAGTTGCTGCCAAAAATAAATTTCACCTTGATGATCGCTATAAAATTCAATCGGTTTAAAAAGAAGAATGAGAATGAGATTTTTAATTAAGTGGAACTCTTCATATTAATTGTCACGGATAACAAAATAATTTGTAAACTTTAAGCTAAATTATCTGAATATTTCTTGCAGACCGATATCGATATATCTTTTGAAGAACCCCTTAAGGCAGAAACTTAGATTGTTGATACTACACATTTTGTCATACATAGATTGTCTCGGGATTTAAACGGGTCATGTAGTAACCGAATTGTTTCTCACACTGTATGGGATGTAGCGCCGTCTTGTTGAACCCAAATGTCATTCACCTTCATATCAAGCAGGCACAGAGACACAAACATTTGATTATTATAAAACTCCTTGCACCTTGTTGTTTGACGGCGACAATTTTGGAAGGGAAATAGTTCCATGCAAAAATAACCATGTTTGTTTCTCAATAATCACATCTGGGATTTCTGAATCCTAAGGGCAAGAAATTTGTAGATTAACAACCCATCAAGGTGAAAATAAGCCTAATTGCTAAAGACAATTTTGCTCGGAAAATCGGCATCAATTTGTTGCTATCCTTTAATCTGGTACACGAAATCTAATAGCGCTTAATTCCTAAGAGAAATTTATTTAAAAAAAGGTGACAGGTATTCTGCAATCTAGAAATATTAAGGCTTCGGATAGTCAGAATTGACCTGAGTGACTTTATTTATTCAACTTCTAATCAGATACAATGACAATGAGAATTAATTAATGCCAGGTCTTTTATTAATACCCTTTAGTCTTCTTAAGACTTGCTCATAGTCTATGAACGAACTGTACAGGAGACAATTATTGAACGTGAAATACTACGTCAATGTCGCTTCGGATATTTCACGGTTATTTGCGATATTCGGCTATCGGATAAACGGCTATGTATGCTTTAAAGGGAGGCAGTCGTAAGAACACAATGTGTATACAAGGAAAAGCCAATTGAAATGTCAGATTGAATATGTGATGTTTGCAACTTCGAAATATGGAATGAAATGGAATTAATTCGATTGATTGCCTCTTTTTCTTATCCATTAATTAAATGTCGAAATTTTTGTAGTCCTCCCTATCATCAAAGTTTCGTTTAAATAACGTTCGATAAACGTTCTTTATTTTTCTTTTTTATATTAGATTTATTAATCGAGTTTGTGATTTGTTTTTTATAATATTAATCATTTTGGGTTGTTTGATTTTAAGTTGTATTTATGTTATGACATGTTATATGAAATACAAATATATATTTATATATATATACATATAGATACCTAATTACTTACCTACAAATATAAATACTCCACCTTTACGAGTGCGAATGCCTAGTTTATGTTTTTCGTTTTTGTATGGGAAAAAAAAATCCTTTTTCCTTTACTATTGAAATTAATCCAGTTTAGTTTTTTGTTATGAAACTTTAAAGGGTTCATATTTTCTTATGATAGTACGAATTGTATGTAAATTACAGGCGGTGTTCCGTATGCTCATAGTCGTCGTCCGGCAACAGGACGTCATCATGGTTATGAGCGTGAACGATTTGATCGTGAACGGGAACGGGATCGTTTTGAGCGTGAACGTGAACGGGAACGATTACATGCTCGGGAACGTGATCTGATGCAGTATGATTTAAATAGTGAAGAATTATTGGATGAACGCAATTATGGCATGGATTATCCTACCGCGAGGGGAGCAGCGAGCGGAGCTCATGCTTCGCATTTGGCGAGGGGCAGTCGTTTGATGGAGGACGCTGAGCTGTTGCACGAAAGAGATGATTTAAGAGGAGGTCGTTATGGTAGCGGTGCAACAGCCCGCATTGATCCACGCGATTTGCCACCATCAGCGCCTACTACAAGGCGCGGTCCACCCGTTGTCGATCGCGATGAATACAGTCCACACAGAGGTGGTGGGAGTAGTAGGAGAATGCTGAATGCCATGTAGGAATCGTGGATATAGGGGTGGGATCAGATCGATAAGTCAGGCAAGACGGCGACGGCAATACAAGCTGCCTCAACGTCAAAGGTGAGAACAGATCATAGAACAAATTTAACTGCCGCAGCCAGTCATATTAGTGGTAGTAGCAGTAGTAGTAATGTCGATCATCATTACCACCTACACGATCATCTTAATCAGAAACAATCACAAACCACCACCACCAACAATAAAACGCGTTATACCTCTTCCCTCGCCTTCGCTTCCTCCATGCATACGGCTAACAATAGTAATAATAGTAGTAATCATCATAGTAGTAGTAGTGGTAGTGCGTCACGTTACGATACAAGCCATCAAACTACCGTGCCTCTGCTTCATTCAACTCCTAAAACTTCAATATCATCTAGTTCATTAGTCTTGCAACCATCACAATCGTCATCTACAACACCACTCCAGGATTCAATCGCTACCACCCAGGAACTTATACACTTACATCACTCCGAACATCCACATACAGCGTACACAAACAAACAGCAACAACATCATCATCATCAGCAACAATTGCTCAGAAGTCGTCACAAAGAGACTGTCGGCAGCATGGATAAAACAGACTACGCGACATCGTCGTTCACCAATGTCGATGCCATCACAAACGCCATACGCAACAAAATCATTGTCGAAGAAGATGAAGAGGACATTTTAAGTAGTGAAAATGCATCGTACCCCTATTAAAGAGATTTCATGTATTTAATAATTAATTTATTTATGAATTAGAGTAGTTAGTCAAAATAATCAAGAACCAAATAAGAATTTACATAATAAATACAAAAAAAAAAAAACAAAAAACAAAACCAAATAAAAAACAAAAGAAAATATATATTGTTTTTTGGTTTTTCCCAATCTTTCATGTAATAAACTTAATAGCATTTTGGAAAAGTGCCAAATTCTTAAAAATACACCGAAAATTCATTTAAACATTTTTATTTATTTATTTACTTATTTTTTTTTTTTTACTTCTCGTTTTTTGGTTAAATTTCAAATAAAAAAAAAAAAAAAATAAAACAAACGCTTTGTTATTCAAGTAAAGTTGATTTACTTTACTTATTATTATAAAAGAAAAAAAGTATAAATGCTAACAAGCCTAATGTGTCTTAAATTTTAGCTAATTATATTACATTAATTGAATATATATAGAAAAAAATCAACAGCAACAAAAATAACAAGAAAAAAGCAACAACAACAACAACAAATGAGTAAATAATTGTAAAATGTTTTTCACTTTTAAGCGAGAAAGAAGAAATATTTTTACTTAAGCCTCGAAATTGATATTTCAAAGTTCTATTTTAAATGTTTGTAGAAATATGATAAGGAAATCACACACACACTCACATATATAGTCTTAAATACGCATATATTGTGTATATTGATTATGAGCCAGCTTTAATATTTTAAATAATTATAATTTTAGAACTTAATTATAATAACGTGAAAGTTAATCTTAACGAGAAACAAATCAATAGGAAAAAAAAAAATTGAAAGAAAAAAAGGAAAAAAAATTTCAAAAATTTGGCTCTTTCTTTTCACTTTTTCTCTCTCTCTCTCTCTCTCTCTCTCTCTCTCTCTCTCTATTTCTATCTCTCTCTCTCTCTACATTCTTTACTTTAATTTGAAAACTCACTTTGTCGAAAAGTCGTCATAAGGCGATTTGACATCAATCACCTTAGAAAGTGTTAATCATTAATTATGGGCGTGTTAGCAAGACATCTTTGATTCCAACTCTCTTAAGGGGACATGTTCAAGGCTTTATCAAAGTTATGTTATCCTATCAAAACCGTTTCTGGAACTTTTTTTTTTGACATATTTCAAAAAAAAAGAATTCTTTTTGAACGCCCTTGAAATCTTATAATTAGACTCAGCCATTGAGATACTAATAGATGGACGAAGTCAACATACCTGGACCTGCTTTAATTTTGCAAGTATTGTGGGCACTTTTATTCGCTAACCATATCGATTTTCCAAGTTGATCTTAACATGTTCGAGTTTTTGTCTTTGAATTTGAAGTCATAAGCGATAAGGATCTCTTCTTCATTGAAGGATGATATTATCTAATTTTTGCTTCTTTGGTGATAAAATCTTTTGTATATAAAATCAATGCATTGAAAAGATTTTTGCACAATTTCTTGATTTTCATTTGGAGAATAAAGCAAATATTTTTTAAAATTTAATTAAAAAATTATTATATAATTCGTGTCATGAAATCTCTTTAATATTCCTTCAGCAAACTAAGATTATATTTTATACTCAATTTGATATTAATGTTTACATTTTTAGATTTCTATCTATCTATTATTTTACTATCATTTTAAAGAACATTTAGTTATCATTATTACGTTACTGTATTTGTAAATAGATTTAGTGGCTTATATATAATTTGTGTTAAATGTTTTTCGCCCAAAATTTTTTTATATTATTTATATTTTATTCTTTTTTCACTCGTTTTCTATTAAACGTAAATGTTTTACCTTTGGTTACTTACTTTGCAATAAGCTCACGGAGGAAATACTTTCAAAACGGAAATTTATATTATATATATATTTTGATTTGAATGACCAGACGATGATGCTGTTTTCGGTGCAAGTTCTGGAAGCTTTTTTTAATTTCTAATTTTCTAATAATTTTTCAAAATATTTCCAATAATACGTTGGGCAACATTTTTTCGTCGTAAATTGTCTCCACTTCATTCTTAACAAATATGTTTCAAGAGCATCATGACAATACTTAAAATGTCATAGTCGTGCAGAATTTACTACACCATTTCTTCACATCCTCTGCATTCAAATACCCTTAAGATACCAAAAATTGCACTTTGTTATCCTTTTTATGAGAACGCTTCCAAACTTTTCAAAATAAATTTATATCCGAAATTACTATTCTGTCTCAAAGAGTTGACAGTGCAAGCCGAGAGCCGAGGAGAGACCGGGGGGCTTTGGTAGGTTTTTTCTGTATCGAAAAACCAAATTAATAGGCTGGTATTGCAATGGGCACAAAAAAAATGGGGTTGCCTTTGAAAACAAGGCCCAGGACAATGAAAGGAAAAAGATTTATAAAATCTAACGGTGTAACACACAAACTACTGGGACGGTTTCTCCACGAGCCATAATTCACTTGAAAAGTATGAGTATGTGTGATACCAATTCATACAGATTCTGACAAGGGACAAGGGAAACGTCCCATCATACCCTATGTCAATGCGAGACCATCTGCAGAATCAAACACCAGGTGTTTGGCAAATTGAAAGTTTTAAATAATTAAAAGAATGAAGTAAAAATAAAAATTTGGAGATGATTACCAGGGTTTAATAAGAATTACTAAACAGAAGACAGCGAATCTTGAGTCTGACTAAATTTTGAACCTGACATGGGAATTGAGTATTCACGTCAGGGACACATTACCAATGTCTTTTGCTCAGATAAAAAAAAAAAAAATGAAACTCAACGGATAGTAAATATGTCAAAAGAGCTTCGGCGAGAAGTATGCCTTTACATAGAAGTAAAGTAAAGCTTTTTGCATTTTATTGCCGGCATAAATAAAGAATTCTGTTAAGAGAAGTGTAGGTAGGATACGTGATAATCCGTCTTACACGACTGTAACTTTATCTATTAAGATTATATTGTAAAATAGTATAAAAATTAAAATTCGAACATCGTTTATAATAATGGAACTATTAGATTTCCTCTGCTGGCTTAATTCATCAATAACTTGCGTAACATTTACAAATTGTTTTTAATTTGCAACTATTTTAAAATAAACAGTTTTTTTTAGTATTCTTTTTTCTTTTATTTTTTAACAAAACACTCCGAAAATCATTGAAATACAATTTGAAACATTTCTTTCTTTTAATTAAAAACTCAAAGGATAATAAATATAAATTGATCTGATCCATCCCGACAAGCAGTCTTTTACAATTCCAACCGCTGCACATTTTAAGAAAAAGAAAAAAAAAAAAAGATTACAAGCAGAACACGTGTTATATTATAGTAAGTCACGTGTACTGAATTCAAAGTGATCTGGCGGGATTTACTCTCTTTTCCTTTCCTAAACTCTTGAAATAGATTTTTTTTGTATTCAAATTTGTAAAAAAGCAAACATTACTTTAAGGCTATAATAGCAAACGTAATTATGTAAAAAAAGAATATATATATATGTACATATATATATATACGTATATATATATATATATAAAAATACTTTAAAGATAACAAATAAAATTTTTTTAAGTTTAGTTTATAGCTAAATATAATCACATAAGTAAGTCACCCACACCTAAAGAAGCTACCAAAACTAGCTAATTACAAATTATTACTACAATGAACTTAAAACCACAAAAAAGCATAACACAACTAGAGAAGAAAGTTATATTTGCCTTAGGGCGAATTTTTTCTGATACCTACCGAATCAAAGAATGCTTTAGTAATCGCGCGGGCTTCTCAATGGGTTAAAATGAATCTTGTACGCTTTGGATAAATGCTGCAAGCTTCCCTACAAAGGCTTTCTCTCGGCAAACCTCGTTTTCAGTTTTAATGATTCTTTTCTCGCCCGTCTTCATTTGCGCCAAATTACATATCGGAAGAAAGCAATTGCTGCCATTCAATGACAGGATTACTTGTGAAAGCAGGATTACCGATCAAAGCATTGTCCGTTACGCAATTTCCGAATTCTTATCGAAGTTATCAGCACTCTACGTACTGCCTTCATTTTTCCTTTATTGTTTCCACTCTTGTTTTAGTAGCGCAACGGACAACATAGGTAGATCCGAATTTATTCACCAAGCATTCAATGGTTCGTTCGATTATTTAACATCGCGCTAAAGCTACCTTATGTAAAATTGTCATGATCATACGGTTACTCGCAAAATATTGATAAGGGGAATATAATTCCAAGAGGAAGAGGAGGAAGAAGGAAGCCAACACGAAGAATTCACCTCAAAATAAGAAACGACAACAGAGTGCACTTTTAAAGGCATTCTATATATTGAAATTATCGACTTCTTATTCCCTACATCATTGGTGGTATTAAGTTTGGAGGGAAGAAAGCCTTGAGATAGACGAATCTTCTGTTATAGCGATCGATCGATCTAGAAAGTGATTCTAAGCTGGATCACATAAGTGGTCGAATAGGTACGAATCGCGATCAGCGCTCGCAGGTTTACATCTCAAGGACTGCAATTTGACAAGCCCGAAAAAAACCTACTTTCAAAACGAAATAAATTTCTTTCGATATATCGCCTTGACTCCTTGATGGAAAATCCAGCGATGCAATTAATTTTGCATGCATATCCGCATGCGTAGCCCTGTAAGTAAGAATTCCGATTATCAAGTTAGTATTCGCGAGTTCAACTCTCAAGCTTGGTAAAGTTTGCTTTAGTCGTAGGTACAGTGACTGTGACTTACCGCTTGGGCATACATCCGCTAGGCTGCGTCCATCTCCCTACCTCTTCCTCTTTGTTGACTTCCTTCTGATTTTTACCATGTTACACGAATAGGAAATCTGTCAAAAGTGAGAAGTCATATTAAAAATCTTGTCTGTCTGTCTGTCTTGTAACCTACAAGCCGAAATTTTTGAAATTTTTCGATGGAATTTGGTACATATATATATATTTTGATTCAAGGCCGAACGCTATTGCAAGTCTTTCGGATCGGATCACCTATTTTGTTACCTAAATAACATTATTAATCGAAATGGTGTAATTGGGCAATGTCCCACCAAAATATTGTTGTCCCAATTTCTTTACCTTACTTAGTTCCCTACTTCTAGCTGACCTCACCTAAAATTGAGTTTGCGCAATGTTTCACCACTGTACCACAAATCCAGGGATAGAGCGTAATTGCATTCCCAAGTTAAGAACGAGAATGAGAAGTAAGAATGAGGTAGCCCGCTTCTTTTAACGGTGGGTAAAAAAAAGCAACTGCAAGAAAAAAGTCCTTAAAAAACCAAACATACATAATATATATGTATATACTATTTACATACATACATATGTAATTATGTAAATTAATACTTTAAAACCGTTTCATACTACTTGATTATTACATTATTGTTATACATTCTTCTACATAAAAAATTAGTAAAAAAAAATAAATAAAAAGAAAATAGAAGAAAGCGAAGAGAAAACTCTGTAAGCAACTGAAACTTTACTAAAAGGTTTAAAAAATAAAAAAATAAAGAAAAATAAAAAATGAAAAAAACCTTTTGATAACAAAATACCTTAAAAGTATTTAATATTTTTTTTCCAAATTTGACTTAAGAAAACATTTTTTAACAAAAGATCAAGATATCCAAAAGAAGAGGAAAACCTGAGCTAACGTAATAATTAATAATTCAACCATGATTAAATAAATAATAATAAGAACTTAAAAAAATTTTTTTGTCAGCTATTTTCATAAATTGCAATTATTTTTTTAAGCATTGCCACATATACATAAAAATTTAAATTTACGATATTGTTAAATAATTAAGACCCAAAAAGTAAAATAATAAGAAAAAAAATTAAAAAACAAAAATTAAATTAAAACTTAATTCTTAAGTAAAAATACCACAAGACATAGGCACACAAATATTTAGATAAATTTAAACAAATTTATTACTTAACTTATTAATTAAAAAAAAAACAAAACCAAAAAAAAAAAAAATACAAAAGATCTTATGAAAATCAATTTTTATTTTTTCTTCCGTATTGAAGCAAATTAAAAATTTTTTTTTTTTTTAATATTATTAATTTTATATTGTCTTTTTTGTTTTTGTTTGCAATTTACATTTTGAAAGTTTTTAAGTTCTCGTCAATATGTTTATTCTAAATAAGTTGGAAAGTGAAAAAATAAAATTAAAATAATTAAAAATTATAATGATAAAAACAAAACTTCCATTTTATTTTCGGAACATTACCTTACCATTCATCGAAATATATTTAGCTCAATAAAACCAGCATGTTAGGCTCGATATTATTTTGCTAATTAATTATCAAGTATTAGTCCTGCTTGTAGGTCAATCTAATGATTATTTGCTATTATGATCCATTATTGACGCGGTTCTGCTGTTCTTCCTATCTTTCTCCTCGTTCCCAGAATTTTTTTTCTTATATAAGAAGTCGCTCAAAAGATGTTTCCTACATGGTAATGGTCAAAAAGAAGTGGGGAAAAAGGGAAACCGATGGAGAGCGGACCAAGGATGCTCAAACCGTACCGATACTTCAACACGCGAACTCGGACTGGCCAGACGCGTCTCATACTTACTCGGCTATCCGGCAGAGTTTTCGCTTACAGAGTGGTGAACGTTAGCTGGTTTCAGGCCATACCTAAGTTTGATTCCTCGCCGTTTTTTTAACTATTGTCTTTTTAGTAATATCTAAGTAACACTTAACGTTTCTTATTTACATTTCATTATACAATAAATGTCGTCATTGCTAACGAAATTCACTGATATGGGTCCTCTTAGACGATTCGATTTCTCTGTAAACCGCTCGGCCGTGGGATCAGCGGAACAAGCAACCTATATCAGAAAGGAAGAAAAACAAGCAACTTATACCAAAAAGGAATAAGAACAAGCAACCTACACCTAAGTTTTTGCTTATGTATCCAGCATATAAGGCTATCATGGAACGTAGCATGGAATATGATCAAGACAATGTTGGTTTAATTCAAAACATCAGCTGATATTGCCACTAACTGATAGTTACACTGATTTGCCTCCGGGTCCAATCAGGTCCCAAACGATAGGTCCTGATGCTCTTACCCATTCTACAACGATTTCTAAAGCATACTACGGTGTGATATTTTACATGTCCCCATCCCTTGCGCTCGCTCTTCTGATTCACATCAATTTCCAGATGAGAATTACGATAAACTTGTTAATTTTTGCATAACTGAGGGGTAGGCAGTTCCTTAAGATAATTGGGTACATTTCATGTTCGAAAATCATCGAACCAATCTTGCAATTGCTTTTTTTAAAGGTATTTGTTCCAATTTTCTTTAATTAATAAAACATTTTATGCTTTGCTGGAGGTCCTTAGCAATTGTTCATCTTTCAAAGTTTAAAGGTAATCACATTAAGCGCTTTTTGCCAAAATCCATGGTCCATCTCCTGTGTCTTCAATTTCTTTTAACTTGGAATAAAAACCAATACTAAAAGTGCTTCCCTGATAACTTAGGCTTACACACGGTTGTGACAAAATGATTTTTTTAGACAGTTACGTTGAGTTTCCGTCTTAAGTAAATTGTTTCTCCGAAATAGTTGCCTACTCGCAGTAAGTCATATTTCCACAATTATCGAAGTTAATCGAAACATTTAATTCTCTGAATTGTTGTTACAATATTATATTAATTACATTATTTTCTCACGTTGTTTAATTGTCTTATTTTTCATAAAATAATAATAATTATAATTTTTATAAAACGCAAACGAAATGAATAATCGTACCAAGTCGGTTGACTGGTATTATACGGAATCTAATCCTAGTTGCAAAACACCAAAAACAACCACCCAGGAAATGCTGGAGGCTGGAGCATTACTCGGTGGTATACGACAAAAAATTAGCATTCGTAAGCAATTGAATTTTCAATCTTATCCAATAAGCGACGCGGACGTGATCAAAAATCGAAAGGAAGCGGAAAAAAGAAAAGTTGAGATCACAACGTCATACAAACGCGACTATATGGAGCATTATCCGGACACATGTCCGAAAAAACTAGTATCGGAATTTACACCAGATCCGTTATTTAATCGCAGACCTTTGTCTGATTTTCCATCAACTGAAGCATCAGCGTTTAAATTTATGGACGATCATTTTATAAATTTATCCGAAAATCGAAAGAAAATTAACTTCTTAAGGCAATTAAGGTAAAATGCTGCATAATGCAAAAATAAATAACGTACGTTATTTCATATCTTTTGATTTTCATTTACAGAAATGTCCACCATCCGTTCATTTAAAAAAAAATGATGACTTGATATTGTTAATGTAAATGTAAATTGTTAGTAGAACTAACTTGCGTTTATAATAAAATAAAACGAAAATGAAAAAAAGAGACCAAGCAAAACAAAATAATTGTGTTTGTATCGTACACTAACAGTAGATGCGTGAATGTAGGTAAGTAAGCTGTTTCACTTTTTTCCCTAACTTTTATACCCTCCACTGTAAGATGGGAGTATGCACATTTTGTTTTTTCCCATAAGGTATGTAACAAGCATAAGGAAGCCTGAGAGACCCTACGAGGTATATATATATTCTTGATCAGCATGAAATTCTAAATTGATTTAGCCATGTCTGTCCATCTGTCATACTGTCGGTCTGTCCATCTGTGTGATGTTTGTTTTTGGCACTCTCCTGATCGCAAAAATGAAGCTATCGACTTCAAATTTGGTGGAAACATTGGAAGTCTTTGCACGATTTGCACAGATCGGTAGAAATGGTGGAAATGGGTCATATTGATCAGAGCAGAAGGAAAGAAAAATGATATTTCGGAAATGCAAATCATTATACTGAATAGGCTAAGAGGGTCTAAGCTATAACGAGTTTCTTTCAAAGGTCCGTCTTTTTAGTCGATAGAAGCGACTTGTTAACATGTATAGATCTTAGTAAAATTTCGCACACTTTTTCTAGGTCTTAATACCGCTGAAGTGTATGTTCTATTAAGTTCGATACGTTCACATACTGTTGAATAAAACGGAGAGTGATTCAGTTAATTGTTGATAATAAGCTTTGCGATTTTCTTGGAAAGGTAGACTTATAAGCTATTTTCCCAATTGCTCATTGGAAATACGCGTAGGAGACACCATGAACCGTTTCTACTCATCTTCACTGTGAACGTATGTAACAATGACCGCTTGGCTCTCAGTTTTTAGGCCTCGTCTTACCCAATTCGCATATCTGGCACAACAATTTGGTAAAAGTCCTGTAATAGAGGGATGTGAAGGACTTTGACACGCCAGACAGCGGAAGTTATCACTTGCATATAGCTGCATAAACTTATGCATATCACTGTGTAAGAAAAGCAGACAGAAGACATCCTCTAATTAATAACAATTTTAAAGATGTTTGTCTGGCATTTTGATGTAACATTACGACAATGAACTTTATATTAAAGGAATCCTTGAAAATTCCCTTTTACCAGATCTTCGCCTTACACGCAATTATCAAATAATATTAAGAAAAAAAGAAAGAAAAACTAACATTTCTTACTTAACAATATCGAAACTTTCTCAAAAATGCTTGAGAGCTATTTTCAAAGGCTAACGTAGTAATCAGTTCTCTAAATGTGATTTCTGTCATAATATTAAAATAATAGCATTATTTTTACATTTATTGTTGTTCTTATTTTTAATGTAATATTTATAATTTTTAAAAAAGAATTAGTGGTAACATAAACAGTATGAAGGATTACACTGTCGATTGGTATTATACTGAATCTAATCCCACTTGTAAAACTCCGAAAACAACGACGCAAGATATGTTAGAAAATGGAATACTTGCTGATGGCGATGGCGTACGAAAAAGTAGATTCCGTCGGCAATTAAATTTTCAATCATATCCTGTATATACTATAACGAAAAGGTATGATAGCATCAAGAAAAAACCAAAGAAAGTTGAGGTGACATCAACTTACAGGCGGGACTATAGAAAAGATTACATACCCACAGCTCGAGCAACACTCGAATTGCCTCATCCACTATTTAATCGTAAACCGGCAGGAAAGCTTCCAATCACGGACATAACAAATTTCAAATTTATGGACGATAATCTCGTAAATTTGTCGGAAGCTAACAAGAAAATGGGCTTCTTCAGACAATTAAGGTGCAAGCCGAAATCAGATATGAGAGGACCAATTTATTTACAGTTTTTTCAAATTTTATTTCACAGGAATGCTCAGCATCACTTTATTTAAAGAGCGAATTTTTTGAATGCAGGTGATGTCGTTATCAAAGTAATTCCAAATTCCTGATAATAATATAAAAATAAAGCAACAAAAAACAAAAAAGGAGATGAGTTAAATATATATATAAATCTAGTCAGGCAAGTTCGTGGAGAGCTACGCTATTGAGCGAATGTGTTGAGTCTCTATCTTCCCTTCTGCAAGCTTCTTAAAGTTTTGATTAAAATACAATATCATGAGAATTTCAAAGTTCTGGAAATTAATAGCTGACATGTACGGAGACGTACCTCGACTGGAAGGTAGTAGTCGACGACTTCATGTTTGTATATAACTGGTTAATGGCTATATGGGCCCAACCAATTAAAACGAGCGGCCAATAGCTTCGCCCATGTTTATGGGCACGACAAGTCTGCCTGCCAACGGCAACTGTTCAAAATATATTTTTGCTGATAAAGCTTCAATTTCCAGGAAGAGAGAAGAGATTCCACTTAACCAGCCAAGCCCTCTGAAGGCGTCCAATAGGCTTTATAAGAGTCCGTAGGAGTGACAAAAGTGAGAGATGAAGCTCATCAGTATAAGTTAAAATATTGACCAAAAATATGTTATACGGACACATAGTTAGTATAGTAGCTATGGTAATAACTGGTTACTCCTTATTGTCGGCCGCAGGAAAGCAGTTATGCTAAAGCTCAAATTGTTTCGGGTGGACTAGTATGCAATAATCAGAAGCACGCGAGGTAGAGTTAGAATCATTTTTTTGATCGTTCTGAGCTTGACTGTCCGTCCGTCTGCTTCGTTTTTTTGTGTTCAACCTACAGACTGCAATTTTCGAAACATTTTGATGAAATCTGCTTTACTGACATATTTTGGCCCAAAAACGGACGCTGTTGAAAATGGTTCAGATCGGACCATTTTTTTAACCGCCTTATTATGAAAAACCGATGTATATGGATAATTACAGGGTGGTGTAGAATATTTTCTCTCTCTTCTCCTCCTACGAAATTTTAAGATGTCCTTTCGTTTGCAGGATCGATCGGCACGTTCGCTTAGAAATCTAAACTGTGTACATATTACTTATGCATATCTGCAAAAAATAGATAGATTTCCTGAACATTTGACGTCTTGCATATCTTAACTACCTTTTCGATCAACGCTAGAAAACGAACATATGCTTTCGTATTCAGAGGATGTTGTCATTTTAAAAATGTTTTTTCAATGAATTGAAAATTTACGAAATCTAGAGGCAAATTTTAAACTCGAGGATTTTATAACCGTTGTGGGGGTGTTTTTGAACGAATCTAAATTAAATGCGGTTATATTGATTTAAGAACATATGTTGATTATCAGCATTGGTCCTTCGAAAGAGTTTCGAAATTTTTTTTTATATGATCTTCAACGAAGAAAATTCATTTCTTGTTCACTGGTAAGTACAAAAATTACGCCTTTCAAATGCTGCGCTCGTCTTTAATATGTTCACTTTTTTTTCAGTCTATATTTAGGTATTTGTGGCAATAAGTTCCTCAAGGTATTCAGAACAGAAAGTCTATACGCACATTGACATTCTTGTATGAAAAATCCAAATCGCGTTCTTTCTCCATCAAAGTGCATTTGTTTTCTCTGGCAATTGACCGAGTCCTGCACAGCATTGCAGCTCGATTTCAATTTCTATCATAATACTGAGGATTTAGTGATAATGAAAAAAAATATGAACAAGGTGACGAAGCCAACTGATTGGTACTATACGGAAACTAATCCCACTTGTAAAACACCAAAAACAACGACTCAGGATATGTTAGAAAAGGGAATACTTGTTGGTGCGGGACAAAAAGGTTCGCATTGTAGGCAATTGAACTTTCAGTCGTATCCAGTAAGTGACGCCGACTTGATCAAAAAACGTAGCGAAGCAGAGAAAACGAAAGTTGCGATCACAACATCATATAAACGAGATTTTACGTTGCATTATCCACCCCTTTGTGGACCGCTTGAAAGGGAATTTATACCTGATACACTATTTAACCGTAGACCGTTGGCTGACTTCCCATCCCCGGATGTAACAAATTTAAAATTTATGGACGATCATTTTGTACACTTGTCCGAACATCGCAAAAAATTTAACTTCTTAAGGCAATTAAGGTAAAGCCGCGCTAACTGTACATCAAATATCCATTAAGAAACTAATTTGTATCTTCCCTTTACGATTTATAGAAATGCTCATCATCCACTTATTTAAAGGCAATAACGATGATGGCCTCATATTTTCAATATAATTGCAAATCATAAAATTAAGATGCCTTAATAGTAAGACAAGAATAAAATTAAAAAATGTTGTTAAAAAAAAATTACATAAGCTTTCGAAGCGATATTGGATACTTCTGCCTTTAAGCTGTTGAAGTGTGTTAGCGAAGTTTTTCTTCTAGATATCTATGACTTGTATGCTAAATATTCGCAATCAAATATTTTCTGAAGATAAGCTTCTTGATTAGGTTGACTTGTATTAGCTGATTATTTAGATTGGCCTGGAGTAATAAGAATGAGTATCATTTAACTTTTGCCCCGTTGCGGACATAAAGATGACAGATTTCGGAACTTAACCATAAGTTTTCATACCCAACACTACTTACCGTATAAAGGTACATTAAGTTTATTCGGATGTATGCGAAACGCAGAAGAGCTTGTGGTAAAGCCAACTTTTGTTATAAGGAAGCTTGTCCATTCGCCTTTTCGTCTTATTTTCTTGTATTCTATCTGCAGGTCGGAGTTTTTTAGATATTTTGTTTAATTTGAGTTCACTGACATATTCTGGCTCAAAGACGAGCGCGTTTTCAACGATTTTCATTACATTACTTGGAGAAGTCGTTATAAGAAAAATCGTATGAAGCGAAGTGGTATAGGGTATTTAAGGGCAGCCATAGCACATCATAGCATTTTACTTGTTTTCCTTCATCCTTGCCATGTTAAGTGTATAGAATAACACTATGAGTTTTTAAACAAAAATTATAATCACCAGCTTATAGCTCAAGTTATTTGTGAACTTCGAATATGAAAAAGCAAATGATGTTATGCCCATCACTGAACTTGAGAAGTTAAAAATTTTTTCATAATTTTTGCTGTCAAAAAGACTACAATCAAAATAGCCTACAAGGTATCTTTCATCTTTTGAACTTGCAGTAATAATTCCAAAAAATCGTATCTCAGAAGAGCATACGAACGCTATTAAGAATCTCGCCTAAATATGTAGATATCGTATGGCGCTTTCTTTCACTATCACATTTAAAATACCTGACATTGTTTGCAACACATTCATCACAATGTTAAAATCTCTAAACTCAACTGAAGGTTCTTCTATGATTTATTCAACTACATTTACTGTAATATATCATATCATATACTATACTATATATAAGTTAAATAGACAAGTGGTTGGCTGGCTAATGTAATTATAAGTATCTTTAATTATGGGCACACAACAATCCGAATCTACGTCTAATTCAAAGTTCACAAGGGGGAAACATGTCCGTTATGCCGCTGCTAATACCTATGGCTAACACCATTTAGAGTAGGGCTCCTTTCGGCCAAAACTTACTTCTTCGCAACGCTTCTATTTGGATGTAAGTCAAATTGTGGGGGTAGCTCTGGCTGCACACATTTAGCTCAATATGTGCGTGGATTAAAGTGAAGGATGCATATCTCAGTATATATGTCTATATATATATGTATCGATTTCTGATCCTCGCTCTTGAAAACGTACATCAACAAAGTGTGCGCTGCTGTTATATACAATTATTTACTTACAGCATCGTCAACGCTTAGACGGGAAACTAAGCTTCGTGACCAGCAGTAAAGGCATGAAAATTAGACGTAAGACACACTAAAACCTAATGGGTGAAAGACACTTTTTTATATATGCTATTAGAACAATGCAAAACGCCACCAATTTAGTTGTTTATTAACAAGACATTTTAATTTAACTTACCTTTAAGCGACATTGTATTCCCTTATTCTTTCGTTTTCTCACCTCTGCATCTTTTTTCTTTTTCTGATCACATATAGGGTTAGGTAGTGACAATGATATTGTTTGTAATCCCTAATTTATAAGTTATTCATGTATGTTACACATCTATCCTTTAATTTATAAGCATAAAGTTTGTGGCATAGTTGATAACTTTAAATGAATAAAAACGTTTGCCTCTCTTTTCGTTTGTCTTTGCAAAACACTTTATTATCCATTGGATCGTTTTTAGCGTACTCTATGTCGAAAGAATGCAATTCAAAATATACATCGTATTGTACTTGGAGAAACGAATTAAGGTATGAGGAGCAAACTGCGGCTATAGTTACTAACTGTAGAAAGCAGGATAAGATATCTTGTAAATCTTCGGTAGGAAATGAAAGTTACTTCCTCATAGGTCCGCCAAGTAGCGTGCTAAAATGTATGATCATAATTAATTCAAAAATTGTTGTATTCGAGGACACAACTTTTTGGCCTACCCATATTTTACAACAGAGTAATGTAAACGCAGAGTAAAGAGGAGTGAAGTAAATCTACCATAAGCGCAAAATAAGCAAAAGCTGAAGTTAGCATAAACTTTGCATTTTTCTGTATTACATAGACATAGGGAGTTACTTAAAATATTTTGATTGTTTAGCTAAGCAACGAAACAATTGCCTTTTATATTAGCTTCCCATCTTCCATTGGTCCAAATGCCAAAAGCAGTTACTTTCCTTAATAAATTGATTTTTGCTCAATGTTTGCTGTAAATTTCTGTTGTTTAAAATTCTTGCTGCTAATGCAAAAGGGTTTCTATCTTGGCTATATTAAGAATAAATTTTACAAACAGAGGCCGTTAGTTAAATAACCGAAAGCTAAGCAAAAGTTTCTTGACACCAACAGTTTACCACTGCTCTTTCTCTTCTTTATACTAACCATGGAAAAATTCAGATATACTAGATATCGTATTCTGCTTATGATGCTCTCAAATGTGCCACAATTTGCCCTAAAAAGCATGGTATGATGGATGGTATTTTGATCATAATTTATGCAAATGTGTTTAGTAGTCATTTTGTAGATGGTATTAGTGTGATTAGTAGTCATTTTGTAAATTGTATTTTGATCATATTTTATGCAATTGTGGTTAGTAGTCATTTTGTAACTGGTATTAGTGTAGTTAGTAGTCATTTTGTAGATAGTATTTTGATCATATTTTATGCAAGTGTGGTTAGTAGTCATTTTGTAGATGGTATTCTCATCGTACTTTATGCAGAACTTATTGAGTTTTTTTTTTTGTAAATAATGTAAAAGAAACAAACTGCTAACGGATTTCAGAGAGAGATCAAAGCAAATCAAACCATTTTACAAGTGTGTTTGACAAATTTAAAAATTACCAAAAAATATAGCACTAAAAAATTAAAATTGTATAAATATTCTTTATGTAGTTAACAATTATAAATTAGGTGTATAAGAGACGAACTGAAAAAAATATAAAGAAATTGTAAGAAATTAACAGTAAGTACATTTTATTCATGTTTTTATTTTGACAACGAGACCCATTTGAGGAATATATTTCTATTATACCGATCGATGCAGAAAATTATTCTGAACTTGTCCTTCCATCTCTCTGAGTAGTTTTCTGGCATTCGGTCTACATGCGCTACAGTATGAAATTTAATGCACTGATTTGTTGAACGAGGATAGACAACAGTATCATAAGTTTAAGGCACAATAGAGGAGAAAGTTCGAGGCAAGGAAAGTGACCTTAGGAGCTTACATCCATGTGAAAACCATAGGGCCGAGGAACATGCCTGTCAAAGTGAACGTAAACATGACATGTGTCGAAAGTATTTACATAGGGTTAGGTATGATAGCTTCCCATCACCAAGAAGCAAGTTCTGTCCGTCCTTCGTATGTCCGTTAATTGAGCGTCAAGGGCCACAAATGTGACCTACAAAAGTAAAAGTTTCGCACCTCTATTAGATTAGATTAAATTTGTAAAACGTTCAGAAAATACACCCAACTACACATTCAATAGGGAAAACTGTGATGTATATTTTGTATGACAGATGTATTTCATTCCATTTCATTTATTAAATAAATTCCGCTACAGAATAAATCGTTAGCTGAATATAAGCTAAAAGATAATTTAATTTAAAAATAAAATTTACTCATGATATGCAAACCTAAAAAGGGAATACATGCGGATGAGCGAATATCTGTTCTAGGTACCAAGAATAACGTATGAAGTAAGTAAAGGTATTTTTAACCTGTGCAGCAAGTTAATTGAATTCATTGCTAAGAGATAAAATATGCGATAGCAAAGAATAGAGAGTTTAAAATTTGAACATATATCTGAGACATAGCAAACTCGAAAAAATTGTTACGATAGACTTATCTATGTTTATACAAAGATCGAAAATTTTTGCAAATTAGTTACATAATGTAATGTTTTTGATTTTGCAAGCAGACACACACACACACACACACTCACAAATACAATCAAGAAATCAAGTAAGTGCTAATAGTCGTCGAACATTTCGCATATTACCCCAAATGAGTGGCCGAGTAGGCAAGAGTCTCGACTAGCAACTCAATAGTCGTGGGTTCAAACCTCAAGTGCGGTAGAGTTTTTTAATAAAAAAGTCGATAGCCCTAGATGCTAGTGCTTTAAGACTTTAGTCTTAGAATTTATTCTCTGGCTAAATTTATAATAATAATAATAATTTAACAATTCATAAGTAACTCGGCGTATATATGTTCTCAATAATTTGTAAAAATGCCAACCATGTGAGAATAGGCGTATACGCTTGTTTACACTTCTCAATAATTTTGCATGTATTTGTATAAAATTGGTGCCTTTAGAGAATAAGAAGTGCGTCAAATGTAAGTCGCATTACATTACAAAAAAAGAAAAAAACAGTTGTATTGAAATTGTCATCATTTCAGCCAAAACTCATCTGATTGATGAACAAAATGATGTAAACATATCGAATTGCCCTAAAAATAAATGTTCGCTCAAACGTAATACTGATACTGTGGTCGAAATCGAATTAAAACCAAAACGTGACTTTAAGGAACTCAATTCCGATATTTAGGGCATAATATTAGATGTTCCCATACCGTTTCTTGGCTATTAGTGTACCAGTGCTTGCCCTCATATTTATGATTTATGATGCTGAAGGTAAAAATAACCGTCAGTTTAGTTGTACATTGGAGTTTGGGCACTTTGATAGTACTAT